ATACACATTGCAACATCACCATAACAAACTCACAAGCACTATTTCAAGCAACCACCATAAAATCAAAACCACCACCAACTAGATAGCATCACTAACCGAAGAGACAACAACAACAACAACACAAAGCCTTAATCTCGGCTACATGAATCCTTTTTCTCCATTGCGTCCTATTTAGTGTCAACATCACTAACTGAAAAGAGTACACAAAAAAAATTGCAAAATCCAATTTCCTAACCTCAGAGCGTCAAACCGCAAATGAGAAAGTCACAAATCACAAAGAGAAAGCCATAAATAAAAAATTAACTCCACGCCGCAAAGTTATATGGTAGATGATATTGTGGGAGAAAGAAGAGCACAATAAAAAAACAAATATGAAGATTGAAGGGAAGAGGGAGAGTAGAATAAAGGTAATTCCTTGCCACCAGAGAGAGGAGCAAGAGAGGTGTGAGAAAGGCGCGAGAGAGACATGAGAAAGGTGTTACCTTAGGGCAGAAGAAAAGCGAGAGAGGGGAGAGCAAGGTAGCGACGTAATAAAATCACGAAGAGACGCAGGCCGGGAGATCAAACCCATGGCCCGCATTTAACCTAGCTTATCTCAAAAAGCTAGCAGTTTCCAAACAGGTATTCTAGTGTTTTCAAAACGCACCGCGTCAAAAAAGCTGCCCCAAACGGGCCCATAATGACATAAAATGCAAAACATAACCAACATACCTTAAATAAATTTATAAAAAATCTTCATAACCAAGAACAAAATGAAGCTAATGTGACCATTGATATAACCTTAATTAATATCATCAAAGGTGAATGCAACGTCTGACAATGTGGCTAACAAATACATGAGACAATAAGCACCACTCTAGGCACTTGTCAAGTGAAAACAACACTAAAAAATACATGGCTATTTTTCTTTTAAAACACTTTCCATTTATAAGGAAGACTTTTGAAAGCAAGAAATAATAAACATCAAATTTAAGAGTACTAAGAAGAAAATATGAATTTTATGCTAAATTATTTTCCCATTTGAAAATCTTACAAAATTGATTATCTTAAACAAAAAAAAAACCTAAAAGACGAGTTTAGATAACCTAGAAATATAAGGGGTCGTTTGGGATCACTTTTTTTATTTTATATATTTTTTATTTTATTATGTTTATAGTTTGATATGAAACAAAACATGTTTCACATATTTACTTAAAATATGATTGATTTTGAAAACACTCAAAATATCTATAAGATGGTTGTTTTTAAAAACACTAAAAATACTTAAATATTGCTTTGAGTGTTTTCAAAAGCATGGTAATTTATTTTTAAAAATAAAAAATAAAAGGTAAATTTACATAAGTAGCACACAATTATTATGTACTGACATATCTCACAACTAAGGTTTCATATTTAGATAAAGAACAATTCGGTGCTTTAATCCTATGCATGAAAATGTATATTTCACTTCTAAAAAGTGTTAATACTAAAAATTTGAGTTTATGTGTGTAAATATAAAAGATTAGGTGTGAGATATTTATATACATAAGAATTGTGTGCTATATATTTTAACGCTCCTAAATGAAATTATGTAAAAAAAAAAACACTAAACAAACATATTTTTAAAGATAAAAGGAAAAAAAAAAACAAAATTGATTCCAAAACAAGCCCTAAGCTACTACAATTAATATCATACATAGCCTAGGAAAAGCCTAATTTTCTACTCTCTATTCAAGTTTTATTTCTATCACTGGATTTATATCCCTTTCTCCTTGTTTGCTTGTTTCTCAAGATTTACCACTCCATAATTTAAACTTCTTACACTGACATTTGATATTTGATTGTTTCTAAGTTTGTATACTTAGTACTTCAACTGTTGATGCTCTTCTAAATTACCATAAATTGAAATTTTATCATTAAAAGCATTGCATCTTTTCCATTTCTAGAATGAGCATTCTTTAATCAAGACAACGAGCTCATGCCAAATACTGACACCTTAAGGCAAGGTGATCACCTAAGTACTCTCTTAGTAACACCTACCCTGCTCGTGAGCTAAGGAAAGTGCTCGACTTATATTTAACATAGCACCTAATATGATTGAAAGCCATTTTAACACTTAACATATATGTAGCACACAATTTCTCCTTTAGACCCGCTAAATCAATTACTAACAATCACTCAAAAGTTTTTTCATTGCCCTCTACACTTATTAATTACTTCCTTAGCACCTAATTAACTTTTCAAATAGATTATAATCAATGCATCTTTACAAGTATTTATTCTATTAGCCTTGCTAATAACTTCATTACATGACTTATAAGTCTCATTCTCCTACTGTCACTACAATAATGAATATATCCTTTACTCCAAAATATTAGAATTTACTTCATCCACAATAACTTAACATATTCTTATTCTTTAATATTTCATTTTGAATTTATTAACAACACGATATAAACATCTACTCCATCCTCTAAATCTCAAAAGTCATTGTTTTGTAAAATTATAGTTTAATCTTAACACATCATCTTCAAAACTAATTTAACTTCCCTATGTTGGTAAATCAATGAAATACTAGATGATTGAGTTCACTTTGATCTTCTAAGAAAATGTCATTTTTCAACAACTCTTACTAATACTTCCTCGAAACAGTAATTTACATCTTTCTTTGATTCCTTCATTAAAAAATAACTCATTATCTTTACTCATGTTGTCCCTATCGATGGCGGTCCATAGATTTTCATTTGTGTGCGTTGTATTTTGCGTGTAGTAGATACCTCCAACCGGACGTTATATCCTTATTTTGGTATTAATAAAATTTCTTTTGGGTTTCCAAAATAGAACAAAAACATTATCTTTACTTTTAATGAACCTAACTTTATCAAAATCTTAGAACACCTCTCTCTTGACTTTGTTAGCACATATCATCATCTTATGAGTAGCTTGTTGGTAGCTAGCCTTTCTCATTATTAATGATCAAAAGCTACAATATGCTTCCAAACCCTCTATACAAATCTTTGAGCTTTCTAATGATTGACCAAAACCTTGAAAATATTTATCCAACTTTTCATTATTTAAAGTTAAATTATTTTATCTAATAAAATTCTGATATGGCATTCTTCTTAAAGAAAGTAGCCATTTGATCAAGCTTTTTAATAGCTTTAAGGTTTCAATTTGCCTCTTTAAAAAAATATTATTTTGAAATTAATAACTTCTCAAACTAGAAGTTCCACAATACCCATCGCAAACAATTTCTTTAACTTCTTTCACTAGTTTTAGGGCATATATCTATAATTACTATTTTAAGCTATGCCGTTAACATTCTCTAAAAATTACCTTACAATCTTTACAAAAAAAAAAAAAAACTTTCCTTCAAAGAGGTGAATGGTCGATTTATGATAGCTCCACTATCAAAAGTAAATGTTACTCATTACTTGATGTATGTGTCAGCTATTGTTAGATGAAATGTGACTGTAAAATTAAATATAGCTTCTCCAATCATATTTCTATGTTCTATTCTATATCCATCATAAATCCTCTTATGCTTAAGACACAAACATCCTTCTCTTCATGTAGCATATGTTGCAGTTGCCCATCCATCTTTTTTTTTTAATTTATTCTTTTTTAGCCAACCCCTACTAGCTTCTTACCCCAATACAGTTGTGGACCTGTGGTGCAGGGAACCATTTTGTGGGAATGCCTGGCACTAGTAAGTAGCAACCATCAACACAGATTCATTTAATTGATTTTGAAATAGAATCCAAAGTGGATGTAAAATTAACATCAACTTTCTACAATTCACATCCAGGCTTAGGATCAGCAATGTTGATTACCATATATTTGTATATGTAAGCGAATATAACCACTAAACTAACAAAATATTAAAATCATTAATTAACTAGTTGATAATACTGTCTTAACTCATCCAATCAAACTGCAAATAAACTTGGAGAATATATGAGCAAGGTAATGAGGAGGGAAGTTCCACCATCAATTCACATAATCATGCAAGCTTAACTTCAGCCCAACTCCAATATTTTCCACTTATTAGTTGGCAATAGCTTCAAAAGAGGTGCATTGCCTATAAGTACATTTGGGGGAGGGTGGTGTACTGTTGGATTGAAAGAAAACATATGATGCAGCCTTTAAGAAGATTGGCATATAATAAATAAAGAAGAAATAAGGTATTGGAATTTTAATAAACAAGCCAGTATATGGTCATTGCTTTTTTTTTACACTTGGATGAAATCAACAAGAGGATTAAAGACATTGACTAAACAATCTTCTCTTAGAAAAATTGGATCCAAAATATAAGTTTCCTTATAAAAATATATTTTTTACAACAAGGCTTTGAATTTGTTCACAAGTATAACATACATGAAATAATGCCGACTCTTAATTCATAGCATCATCTTTAGAATGAATATTAAACCACAAACGACCAACTTCAATATTCACTATTCATTCTCTTCCACTAAAACCCTACATGCTTTTAAAAAATAAACTGAATTTGCCCAAGACAGAAAAGTTGAAAAGCAGATGCCTCCCATTCCCAACAATTAGTCACAAATCAGTTCAGTATCATTTCTTCAAACTAATTAAAAGTTCATGCTTTAGATCCATCAGACAGAAACCACTACAATACACCATTTTATTCCATATGAACATTCTTGAACTCTCATAACAAAATATGCGAAGACTCAAGCCCTCCTAGTGCCAACTAGGCTAAGTTTTATAGATGCAGAACAGATTGCCAAAATCAGGAATATCTCCCGCATAATCCCACACTGTTCTTGTAACTTGGAAATTCCCAACTCTAGTCCAAAAGAACCTGTTCAACTCTAACGCAGCCTATTAGTTCGAGGGCCAAGAATGAAAAGAAAGAAGCAAATCAACCCACTACATCAGAAAAAATACGGTTGCAATTCAAGCATGCACATCAACGAAATAACTAACAAATATAATCCATTTAAAAAGACAAAGTACATCACACTGTATTAAAATCCGAATTGGGGGGTTACCTTCGCTGATTTCGAATTCCTCAAACTCGTCGTCGTCTTCGAAGAGGTCCATCTTGGCGTCCTCGCCCGCCGAAGGCTTCGTCTCTGTCGCCATTGATTTCAAAACAGGAGAAAATCAACCGAACACGGGATCACTAGACGCCAGACGAACTAGGTTTCCGGAGGGAGAGGTTATACTTGAAGAATCAAAAGGCCTTTTTTCTAAAGAGGTTTTGGATGCGTTTTTATCAAATCCAACGGCTGTAAATGGTTTTAATTATCAGTTTTAATAGCAATCATATTTTTCATCTTATTTAAGTTTTAATAGTTATTTGAATATAATTTAGATTTATGTTAAATAAGATTTAATCGATTCAATAAATCTGAATTTATCTACGTTAAAAAGTTCACGAGAAATGACAGAATAAATCCGCCTCATAAATAGATTTAGTAGATTCAGATTAACTCAAGAGACAGAAATGAGAAACGAGGGGACAAAAAGATGAAATACGAGAAAATTCGATTTAATAGAGTTGGATTTAATTTTCAAGTTTTCATATTAGACCGACGTTAAATTAAATTAATCGCTAAATCTAATTCATGTTATGCCATAAAATGTCGTCTTAGTGTTTAAGATATGTTAGCAATATTTTTTCATAATTATATGTTTAATGAAATTATATATCATTGTAGTTTTTGTTTTTTTTTTATTTTTTTTATGATGAGAAATTATTTTATATAAATAAATTTGTTAAAATGTGAGTATAAAAGAAGAAACCATAAATTGAGAGTGTTATATTTATTTATAAAAAAATCCATATTTATAAATATAGGTGGCTTGAGTATACAATGACAATATTACCCCCATTTATCTCATCGTTAATGGGTATTTCTTGTCAATTTTCTAACATTTGGTAGTTAGTTTTACTATCTCTTTATTCTTTAATTCCAATAGTTGAATAGGTGCCACTTTCATGAATGATCACGTCCATTGGGCATGGTATATGACTAAATTGATTTTACTTCTAACTGTCGGTTGTCTCGTTTCAGATCAATTTTGGCGATCATACGATTCAACCGATCGTCCAGGTCCGATGGGATTACTAGCTGCCTGGGTAAGCGGGCTAACTTGAACGGTTGTTTAATAATCTTTGACATGGTAATATGATCAGAAACAATACTCCTCGAACCAGTTGATATCTTTGGGATTCGTGCAAATATTTTTTTCTTGTATACATATTGGTTCCCCAATTTCTTGCTCCTTTCATGACTACAAAAGGACAATCAAATTTTTAATTAAACCTCATCAAAGCATAATCATTAATTTCTAGTTTTTCGTCCCCATATAATTCTTAAAAATAGGGTCAGTATTCTTCCCTTCTCGCCCTGATATCAGATTTCGAAATGTCTTCATGCATGCCGTGAGATCCCCAGATCATTTGGATGACAAGGCGCATTAGATTGCTCTAAATAAGCTTCAACTCCCTCTTCAACCTCCTCCTGCCCCTGTTAGCAAAAAGACAAAGAAAAATATGGTCATGGTAAAAAGAAGAAACACAAGGATCATATGATCGACTTAAATGATAACGTCACATTTTCTGCTACTCCCAATGTGAATCGACCAAAGAAGCAGCAAGAATGGAGAAAAATCAAGGGCTTTCGGTTCCTCCCATGGATTCAGTTATGATCATCTTGGAAGAGGCTCGTCACATAGATATGATTGTTCAAGAAGTTAGCTGGTGTCTTCGAACAACTTAGTAAAGCAGTGGCTTCTGATGCTCCTCCGCCCGAAGTGAAGAAAGTCAGCACTCTTGTGCCAGGGTTGGTCGATGTTATTACTGAACCTATAATAACAGTCGTGCTTCATCAAAAGACTGAAGAGAACCAACCGCCGACAAGCGACATAATCAATTAACTAGCCGAACTTTTCAATACTTCGCAAGGAATGCATGGTGTTAGCAATAGTCTTCTGGATCGTTGGAGCATAAAGTGAATGAGATAGTGGACTCTTTTGAATGCACCTCCAGAGGACTGAATAATGATGTGGAAGGAGAAACACAGATTCTTGAGGTGGTGGCTCTTTAGGTTGAGTTGTAGGTTGTTCGAACTCAATAGAAAATCGATCGGGGCAATTATCTCAGGTTTGGCGGTGGTCTTTTGTTCACATAGTTATTTAGCCGGGACATGTCTCCGCTCAAGTGGCTGAGGACTCCTTTGCTTTCCAAATAATTCATGTAACCTTTTCTTTCATTTTAAATGAACTGAATTTATAGTATATTTTATATTTATATTTATATTTGATTTTATGTGGCGTGACATCTTTTGAATATCGAGATATTTGGAATGATGGCATCCAGACCCTTCAACTCGAGCACTCCACCTTATAAATAGACAATGACGCATTAGGGTTGAAACTTTTTGCAAAACCTTTATGATTCTTTCCTTCTCTCCTTTTTTCCCTTAATGGCTTGTAAGTATTCTCTTAGGGTTTTTAGTACCTAACCAGTGATGGAGGCTTCTGTGCTGACCTATAAAGACACGCAGAAGCTGTTGGAATTTATTTTTGATAAAAAAAATTATGCTTCAAGCCGTAGAGAGTTTTGACCAAGCAACAAACAACTTCGGGAATGACCTAGTGTTCTACCAGAATCAATTTCAAAGTAGTCCATGGCTCACACTTTGTACCGAGTTGAAGGGCGTTTTCAATAAATATATAGTGATTCTAGCTCAAGTCGTGTCGAATTTGATCATCGCAATAATTAAGTTTGTTGTTTTCTGCCACCGATTAGCTATCCCTTGGTCAACTAACTTGTTTAACTACTACTTTTCATTCAAGATCAATAAAGATGGGCTTGCAAAATTTTTCTCTTGTTATAGACTCCAACTCCTTGGGCTGTAGCACAAAATAAAAAACTACAAGAAATAGTTCCTGGTCGGATCTTGCACCAATGGCTAGAGAATTAGCGTCACCCTTTGTTGATCTCACTTTTGGTTGATGTTTAGTTTTTCCTCTTTAGTAGCCTAGGGTCTAGCCATAGGAATTTCCTGTTGACTATTCCTAGAAAACTACAAAAGTAACCCTTACCATTACAAACTCTAAACTCCTCTTTGCTCAACTTGAAGTTCCACATATTGGTCCTAACTTCTAGCGTATGGGGGGTTTCAAGGAGAGTTCCCATAGACTGCTTGACCTTAGGGCTGCCCCTGGGTGTTGGTCTGGAGCTAGTTCACTCCCTTACACTCACTATCACCTTAATTCACTTGCAACCCTAAACCAAAAATTGTTGACTTTGATCCCTTGATCTTGTTGGAGACTCATGTAGATGATCCCTTAGACCCACTAGCCCTAGGCTAGGGTTTAGCTAAAACCAGTATATAGAGGACCCAAATGAGAATTTCACTGGTCCATAGCTCATATAAGGTGGTTGACACCCTAATTCTACCAAAATATCCAATTTGGCCTCTTGCCCCCAAATTCACCCAAATTACCTAAATGCCCTTGCAAAATTCTATTTGGCCAAAATTCTCAATTTCACCCAAAATACCCAAATTTTTTCAAAAATCATTTCAAACCATTTCAAAATACCCAAATTGCTCAAAACCACCCAAAATTGCCGAAATTCCAAACTTTCCCAAAACATCCAAAATCACTTCAAATGTCTTCAAAACCAATTTTGACCCTTCAATTGAACCCAATTTGGCCAAATTGATCATTTTGACCAAAACCCCCAAATTGCCTTTAAAGGCATAATTTCTCCAAATTTACCTCACCCATCAATTTGGCCCCAATCCTCCCCAATTTCAATTCTCCAATCCTTTGGCCCCAATCCTCCCCAATTTCAATTCTAAACTCAAACTCATCTTTCATGTGATTAATTCAAACCAAATCTAAGCCTAATTGACCCATGTTTTGAGCTCAATTTTGATCCAAGTTAAACTCTCAATTTTGACCCTAAGACTTAATCCCACCAAATTGAACCCCATAACCTACTCAATTTGCCCCAATTTGAATACTAAAATCTTCATGACAAACGCATCAAATTGGACCTTCAATTGGCCTTAGCCAAGCTTTAATTTCACCTAATTTTAACTCAAGTCCAAAACCCCAAAATTTGACCCAAATTGGCTATGTCCCCAAATGCCATCCAATTGAATGCCCTAACCCTCAAAATTGACACCCAATTTATGTTGAAAACTCTTTATGACATACCCCTAGACCATTTTGAGTCATCAATTTGGACCTAAAATAACCTTAGCCTAACCTAAACCCAAGTCCAATCCAAACCCCCAATTTTGACCCTATGCCCAAAATCATCCAAATTGAACCTCCAAACCAATCCAAAATCACTCCAAACCATTTCCAAACCTCTTGTGACAATCATCTACACAATATTTACCAATCAATTAAGCTCAATGTCATGGCAAGCCTACCCCAAACCCAACTTCTAGTCATTTTGACCCAAATTGAACTCATGCACCAAAATTGACTTAGTCATGCTAAAATGACTTAGCCATGATAAAGTCACCAAATTAAGGTCTCCACAGCCACTAAACACACTCTATTGACCAGGAATTGACCAGGATAAATCTACTTAAACCACTCAAGTGAGCTATGGACCAAGGTTCCCCTAATTTAATGGATCTTAACCCATTTTTGGGCCTTAACCAAAATATCTCTTCCATCATCACTTTCCATTGAGGGTTAACCATAATTAACCCTCTCTCTGGCTCACCTGCCCACCTGACCACCACCCCAGGCCCTGCCGACCAGCCTATTGGCCGGAAAACTCTAAAACCGAGAGCCTCCACCCCTAAATCAAACCACCCTAGAGGCCAACTCATCCTAATGTCTCCTTAGAGCTCCTCAGCCCTCCACCTAAGCACCATTTTGCACTCATCAATTGGCCCTGGTGGCCAGCCCAAGCTCCTCTATTTAATCAGCCCCTCCATGGACAAAGAGAAGAGAGTTCCAAATTCTTGGGGAAACTCTGCCAAAATCTCACCAGAGACACTCCAAGCATCCTTAAGCTTAATCCAACCATCTTCCCCCCTCTAATTCCCACTGTGAGAGCCCAATTTTGAGCTCAAAATTTCAGCTCAGACCATAAAATCTCTCCACAGTCCACCAAACTCAAATTAATTGTGCACACACCATCCCTAGAGCAAGAGGAGTTGATTCCCCATCAAAGCCCCCTCTGAAACAACCTCTAGGACAGCTC